ACAACACCCCCCCCCCAAGCAAAACTCCTCTCTGATAACGAGGAATTGTGTTGTCTGTGGACAGACGCACCAGGCAGTGTATCGTTGAGTCCTGCTTCACGCAGAATGATGCCTTTCTCCCAACCTTTACTGCAAACTTTGTCTAAGCAGTTTTCACACCTTTTGAGTTTTCGCTGCACGTTGCTCAGAACATCCGCACGCACATCGGTTGCTTTGGGATGAGTTTGGAAAACCTGGGGCAATTTCTCAAACTCGGCGCTCTGCAGAACAGGAAATTGCCGCTTCCACTGGAGCACATGTGCAGCAGGAAACAAGAACAGACTGGGATTCCGGTAGTATTGAAATTCATTTTCCCCTGAAATCTTGTCGTGAATTGGATGTTTCAGCTTGAGCCCAGAGCCGGCCGCCCTAACAGCCGCCTTGTGTGTGGCTGGTAAATATCTACTGGCAGATACTCTTGGAGCAGCGGCTGCTGGCTTACATTTCTGCAGCCCACTCACTGCCACTTGTTGCCATGGCGGACAGTAGGTCTCTGTCAATAATTTGGCCTGGCGTAGCTTGTCTGCGCTGACTCTCAGGCTTTATTGAACCATTCGGCTCCACGGAACAAGATTAGACAGCTTTCATCCTTTGGCTGGCTGAAGTGTTTGCTAACTTTATAAGCACAGGCAGGAGTCTTGCCTGGAAAAGTTTCCCTTTCACTGTGTCCGAAGGTGCCTGCAGGCTGGAGCGGTTTGTCCTCCGGAGTGTGTGGATGTGCACCGTCAGGTTTTCATCTGCGTGCCCAGCAAAAGCAACTCGGTGCAGGAAGCCAACTTCATGACCGAGTTCTCGGCTGGATTTTTTTTTCTTTTTTTGAGTGTGTATGTGGGCAAGAAAACAAAAGCCAAACCTGCTGCCTTGGAGTTGGCTTCGGACAGGGTAGAACTGGGGTTTCCAAAGCCCTAGTCTTTAGGGAAGCTCACTGCCCCTGCGCCCTCCTGCAGAGCGGCTGAGGGCTTTGAACTAAGGACCCTTGGGCTTGCAGTTTCTTTGCAGCCAAGCTCTTAAACTCCGCTGCATCATCAGGGTTCCTTTTGTAGGGAGGGGAGGTAAAATTTGTAGGGAGGGGAGGCAAAAATGACTTTTGCTGACTGAGCCCCTTCCCCACCCCCCATGAGAAGTTCCATACTAGGGAAAAAAAATCTTGCCTGCTTTTAATGTTACTGGGGGGAATGGCTTAAGATCGATTATTTGAACATTGAGTATTTGTTATTAAAGTTTTAAAACGTAAAGAAGTTGGGTTAACGCTGATTGGGACAATCATGTAGCTAAAGAGGCACCCCAAGCCCCATTTCCACTCACCTCTGCTTTTATCCAACACCCACTTCTTCTCCCAGGTGTGAACCAAGTCTGGCCAGACCTTGCCTATTATTCAGATGCCCACCTAAAAGACATCGTTTCCAAGAAAGCTGATTACAAGCAGCCCCGGGGTTACAGACGACATCCGTTCATAAGGGTATTTTCAAGTTGAATAAGTAGGTTAAGTCTAAACAGGGGCATAAGGTTCTTAGCCTTACTTTCGTGCTACCTTGCCCTGTACATCCCCTGAGTCAGAACTGACTTTGGCATTGAGATTGTGTTTGTTGTTGTTGTTTTCAATCTGGCGTTGGTGCATGGAAAGGCTTTTGAAGCGTTTCCAACGGTCTTAAAGCTGCACATATAGCAAGCGAAGGTGGCTGTGGGTGAAGAACTTGTGGAGTAGGGTCTGCTTGGGTCCTATTAAAGTAGAGGGCAAATTTACATAACATGAAAGGGCAAGTCGAGTTGCTCCCCTGGTAAGTCCAGTGTTTGTAACCCATGGCTGCCTGTAGAGGGACTCCCTTTTAAGAGAAGTTCATTTCTTAGTAGGTTGGTTAAGTGAAGGAACTTAGAGTTTCAAAAGCAGAGCAGATGAATTGAGCTCAGGTTATTCATCTTTTCCATTGAAAGCTAATTATGTGTCGCAGCCTGAAGGTAAGGGTTTGCCTACCTTTCCAAATGCAAAGTCCCATTCTACAGAATTTGCACCTCAGAGCTAGGAGTTCACTTAAAGTTGAATTTTGAATGAAAGATTGTATGCAGAGATCAAATTAGTGGAAAATCTGACTTTATTCACTTGTAGGTTATGGGAATTTTCATAAAACCCACTGAATTTTAGTGTTTCTTATGCTTTTGCAAAAATGAACACCCCTCCCCCCTTAGTCTATTACCTGCAACTTTGCTATTAGTGAAATACAACAGTGGACTAGTGCCAACAAGTATTAGTCACAGGGAATGTACGAATGTAGGTTTTTTAAGGGACACACACACCCACACGCACACCCACCCACCCACCCCTTTGTTTTTAAATAACCAGAAAGCATGGGTCGAATTGCTTTTATAAAGACCAAAATATGTGTAAATTAGGGTTACACCTGACTTTTCTTCAGGCAGGTATTTGATAGATTAAACTCCTAATTTATTCCTTAATTATCAGGTTTAGGGGTGCGGGTCTGCACAACACAGTATTAAAATAATGTTTCACAGTTACTTCGGAGTAGTCAGCAAGTTCAGAGGGATTTGTCTGTTCTGTTTTGCAAGTCATTTGCTAGGGAGGCCAAAAACCCCTCCACCTTGCCTCTTCCAGTCCCAGACACGGCCAGAAAGACCAAAGTTGCTTTGGGGCGTTAGTCATCAGTCAACACAAGGTCGTGGCTGCTGCTTTAGCTTCTGTTTTTCATGTTGGTCTGTGTTTATATTGTACTTTCTATGAAACTTATCAGAAGAGCTATAGAAGTGCTAAAATGTACTTTTCCTGCTTGTGGGCTGCTCAGATCAACATGGGAGGGGTCTTCAGAGGATTATTGGAAAATTTTCATTTTCTTTTATTTTTCCACGACCTTGTGACCGCCCCTGGTATCTGCTGGGAGTTTCCATATATGGACACGATGCATTAGCATGTATCTAAAACCCTGAAAAAACAAAACTCGATTCCGGCTCCTACTAAAGGGCCTTGTTTTTGCCTTCCAAAAGGAATGGAATACCGTTTTAAAATTAGATGTCTAAGAGGTGACTTCACAGCTTTGCTTCCTTAGCACTTACCTGTCAGAGTTCAGTGTGGTGAGTCACTGCACAACTTGTTTGGATGTGCAGGAAGTCCCTGGTTAAGAATGTCACACTCAGAAACCACCCCATCTCACCCTTTAATGTTATGTAAATGTGCCCTCCAGTTTTGAAACACTGGAACTGTTACACACACACAGGTTCTTCATCAGAATCACCTTCACTAGCTGCACGTGCTTGTGAAGGAAAGTTGGGGGGAAAAAACCTTTCAGCCTTTTCTAAAGCTTCACAAGCCTTGATTGCCATCGGGTTGGTCTTTCAAGGCTGTAAATCTTCATGGAAACAGACCACCACATTTTTTACTTTGAAGTGGCTGGTAGATTTGAACCGCCAGCCCCTCCAGTTAACAGCTAAGTGCTTAACCACTGCACCAACCAAGGCTCCTCTTTGTGGGATTCCAAAACCCAAATCTACTGCCAGTGAGTTGACTTAAAAAAAACAAAGGACACAGTAGAACTTCCCTATAGGTTTTCCAGGGCTGTACATCTTTTTTCCTGCTGAGTGTCTGGTAGGTTTGAACCTCAGAGCTGCAGTTGGCAGCAGAGAACAGTAACCATTGCTTTACCTGGGCTCCATCTTTCACAAAAACCAAACCCAAACTCACGGCCATTGAGTTGATTCAGGCAAAGAGCGACCCTATAAGACCAAGTGGCACTTTCACTTTCCAAGGCTGAATTATTTCCTGGATTAAAATACAGTTTTATATGAATCATGTGCACTTGTGATTTATCTACAGATTCAACTTAAAGACACACTTGGGAACCAACCTCATTTATAATCTGGGGCTGCGCGTACTTAGCTTAGGGTGTGTGTACGATACGAATTGTGACTCGTCCAGTTGTTGCAGATTCAATTGAAAAGTTTGGTGTGGTTTTCTGTGCATGAGTTCTGTGATCCACTATTCTAGAAAGATCTTCCAAGCACATTTGCAAACTAATATAGTGGATGGATGAGAGATACTTATAGATCAGAGTAGCTGGAATACCAACTTTCAGGGGCTTCAAAAATTTGGTGGGGGAAATTCCATGATCTTGTCATTCCATTTTGCTACAAACTTTCTGAAGCTCCCTCATCTCTGTGGAAATTTAGATGTGCCAGTGCGATGCTGGTGTAAAGGAGTAGGGGACCCACCACAGCAGGCACACTGGCTGCCTACCTACTTCACCCACATGCCCTTCTTGAGAATGTTTCTCCCCTTTGATTTCAGTTCTGTTATGGGCAGAAACAGGATCAGCCTCCTCCCCTGGGGCACTGTGCACAACAAGGTTGTATGTCCCGCTTCTGACTCAGGGAAATTTCTCAGTGGGTCACCAAATCAACTTGAAAAACAAAAAACAGAAACTTCCAACCCCCTTCTAAGATATCATCCTCTGAGGAACAAGGGAGTGACCCCACTTCAGTCACCCAGAGCATCAGTGAGTGGTAGGCCTTGTCATTTTCCCATTGACCCAATCCTCTGGCTGAGTAAGGGACACTGGATTCCCTCTTTCCAGGCCTTAGGCTGGAGAAACGTGCAGTTCTGTGTGGGACCTGCGAGGACATTGGCAAGTCCAGGATTAATAGCTTCACTGGCAAATGCCCCAGTAAACTGGTGATGATGATTTGCTGGCCCCTCCACATCTAAACTTCATAGGCTCATTTCCTGCTCCCCTTCGTCCTCCCATGTGGACTTTGGAACCCTTACTCATAAGCATTTTTATCTTACCTCATCGCAGCTTAGCTTTCAAAGTTGCCATGAATGAGAAACAGGCGTTGTCCTTTTTTTTTTGGTGGGGGTGGGGTGGGGGTTGTGCTCAGAGGGATACCCAATTTATTACTAGGTCTCAGTTGTTCCTGAAAGTGGATCACAGTGTCTTTCCTTGTCCTTCATTCCCTAGAGGATGAAAGTCCTGGGCAGACCTATCACAGAGAGAGAAGAAACGCAATCACCATGCAGCCGCAGAGTGTCCAGGGACTGGGCAAGGTCAGCGAAGAGCCTTCAACGTCCAGCGACGAGAGGGCTTCACTGATCAAGAAGGAGATCCATGGGTCCATCCCGCACCTGGCCGAGCCCTCCGTCCCTTACCGCGGGACAGTGTTTGCCATGGACCCCCGGAATGGGTACATGGAGCCGCACTACCGTAAGTGCCTAATGCTGCCCAGTGGGGAGGCTGTGTGTGTGTGTGCTCTGTGAGTTATTTGGTGTGCACTAAACAACAAGACTATCTCAATAAAAGGTTTCATTTGCCTCTTTCTCCTCTTCTTCTTTTCTCCTACTCTGACCTTTTGAAAGAGTAGCATAGCCTTAAATCCTTAAGCAACTTTGGGCCTCACTGGGGCAGCCTTTGAGCAGGTGGTCCATCTCATCCATATGGAATTTTCCTTGGAACTAGAACCAGATTTGTTCTACCCAGAAGGTAAATGACTGATGGCAGGGAGTTGTTAACAAGAACTGCACCGGGAGAGGTCTTTAAATAGCATCTCTCCCCATTTCTAGACACCCTGGTGGCATAGTGCCTGAGAGTTGGGCTGATAACTCCCCTGTGGGGAGAAAAATGAGGCTTTTTATACCTGTAAAGAAGTGGGTGTTAACAAACTCAGGGACAAGGGAACAACAAGTGATCTAAAAATCAATGGCGAGGAGGGTGTAGGAGCTTGGTAGGGCTTGATCAAGGGTAATGTAACCGAGAGGAATTACTGAAATCCAGATGAAGGCTGAAATGACAGTGAGACAAGAGGAAAGTAAAAGGAAATAGAGGAAAGAACTAGGAGGCAAAGTGCATTTTTAGAGGTCTAAATACAGGCATGTACATATGTAAATATATGAGGATGGAGAAATAGATATATGTACATATATTTGTTGGTTTAATGTTAAGGTAGCAGATGGACATTGGGCCTCTACTCAAGTACTCTCTTAATGCAAGAACACTTTATTCTATTAAACTGGCATTCCATGAAGCTCACCTTCCCAATAGCATCGCTGAAGACAAAGCAAAGCAGGTGCATTGGCAAATGTGAAGAAAGCTTAGGGTGCCTGGCTATCAAAAGATACAGTGTCTGGGGTCTTGGGGTCTTAAAGGCTTGAAGATAAACAAGTGGCCATCTAGCTGAGAAGCAACAAAGCCCACATGGAAGAAGCACATCAGCCTGTGTGATCACGAGGTGTCGGAAGGATCGGGTATCAGGCATCAAAGAACAAAAAATCATATCATTGTGAATGAGGGGGAGTGTGGAGTGGAGACCCAAAGCCCATCTGTAGGCAACTGGACATCCCCTTAGAGAAGGGTTGCAGGGAGGATACGAACCAGTCAAGGTGCAGTTTAGCACCAATGAAATATACAACTTTCCTCTAGTTCTTTAATGCTTCATCACCCCCACTATCATGATCCCAATTCTGCCTTACAAATCTGGCTAAACCAGAGGATGTACACTGGTACAGATTAGAGCTGAAAACACAGGTATTTTTAAGACTGATAAACCCCTCAGGACCAATAATGAGAGTAGTGATACCAGGAGGGTAAGGAAACGTGAGGGAAGAAGGGGGGAAGCGATCACAATGATCTACATATAACCCTCTCCCTGAGGACGGACAACAGAAAAGTGGGTGAGGGGAGACATCGGTTAGTGTAAGACAAGAGTTGCACAAGCCCCCAATAAAATTATATAAAAAAAAGAAAGAGTTCAGTCTCAGAAGAAACCACAGGGCCAGTTTTACTGTCTCCTATAAGGTTTGTATGAGTCAGGAGCTACTCGATGGAGTGAGTTTGGCTTTTTTGGTATCCCCATTTATAATGACTTTTGGGGACATTTTTTGAGGATGAACAAAGCTCATTGAGCAAATCATAAACTCCAAACATGGGAGAGATTTCTCCACAACTTCCTGTCTCTGTCTAA